CACAGCATGAAACAGATCTCCGGAACAGGCCCTTTCTGTTCGCTCCGTGTCATGTACTTGTCAGCGTCTCTGGTATTTCTACAGTCCATCTTGTGCGTAGTCGACCTCTGGCTCTGTTACCGTTTTTTTTTTTTTTTTTATAGCATTGCTCACTCAGGCGAGAGAGTGAGGCCGACGACACTACTCTTCCTCATTTTAATCCAAGTCACCGCGCAAGACACTCCTTCATCACCATTTCAAATATCTTCAAAATGATGGACAGAAAGGCGACTGCAGGAGATTCCCTCCCTGGCACAACACTCATTACTTGTCCTCAATGTCCAAGAACTTTTCGGGCCCTCATCGGCCTAATCAGTTATCTTCGTACTCATACTTGATGGAAAAGAATGGCTGTCATCATCTTGATGGATGTGGCGGGTAACTTCGCTTTACACTAGCGAATGCACTATGTGCACTTTACAGAGGGAACTACAAACAGTGAAACATCATACGGTCTTATTGTAACCCCAGCCTTGCTGGTTAAATGAGAGGATTCTGGGTTTGCCCACATCTATTCCCTACTGTTATTAAATTTGAATATTTAAATGTATTAAAGTTATACTAGCTTTTGTTCACTGACACAAATACAGTTAAAATGAAACTTCAGAAAACTGTAAGAACATTAAAACTACATTTATTTTGAAAATTCAAATGATAATTAAATAAAAGGCTGTGGATAAAATTATCCTGTTATATAAGGTAAGTGGTCAACTGTCCACTTAGCTGTAGCTTAGGTTTATGTTGTCAGCTTCTGACTAAGCTTCAGAAACATCAGGCAGGCCGAATCTTCCAGTCCAGTCCGGACAATCGGGTATCTGCAGCTAAGCTTAGGATCTACTTCTGGACTACCATCTGGAATACAATCTGGAACTAGAACAATAGAACAGTCCTTAAACAAACAGTCAGGAAGGTTCTAACTGGAGACAACAATACCTCCAGTCTTTAAACTGTTACACTACACACATATATATGGAGTAGGATAGAAACAGGTGTTCACATTCTACTGGTATAGAATGGGAATGTGTACAGAACATGGTCCATAATCCTGATGGGATAATATTTAGGAAACCAGTTTCATGAATACTCTCAAGAACAAGAGTTTACAGCACACAAAAAGAAAGGACATTTCTCAGTGTAAATTGTTCTGATGTCTGCACACTAGTACTCCTTTAAAGGGTTAACATGCTTACACACACAGACATACAGTCATATTTCACAATATTCTCATTTTAACCACATGGGTTCACATCACAATGAATGAGAAGCAGGGAGTGAGTTTACCAAGAGCAGAAACTCATAACAGGTGCTTTGCACTGTTTGAAAATAAATGGGATTGACATATCTCCATCAATATACTGGGTGCTGGGATAGATGTCAAAATACAATCATAGATGACAATGGGCTTTCCATCTGTCACAGTATTAACATAAAATATACAACACTCACTCCAGTTTAAATCTAAATCCACACATGTGCTAATCTTATTCAGCAGAGTTTAGAAGTGGTGAGGGGTGAAATATAATTATTACATTTGTAAGGCCACCTGCTGTAGAACTGAAATGTATTCCTAGTAATAGGGAAATATATCTACAACAATAATAATTACAAGCATGGGCCATACAACTCCCTTCTTCTTCTTCTCTGACAGTGTGAATATTAAGTTCAGCCTCCTGTGTTATTCACTTTCCAAGCTCTTAAACTAGTCTCAGAATTATCTGGACTAAATCTAAATTAAAGCAAGACAGTGATTTATTAAGCTAATATCACCATGAGGTAAAATCAACTTAGAAGAGATTAGGTAAAATGAATATACACTTCATTCCTATTTTTAATTGTCTAAGCTGGAAACAGGAACTGGCTGAGATTTCACATGAGGACATAATTATCACTTAATATAAGTATAATTATTAAAAATACCAATGCACGTTTCTAGTAGCAAATAAACATTAATTCAATCATCAAATAGATAATCTGTTTGCATACATGTACATACTAGATCATAAACGTGGTTAGTGAGGATAAAGAATTTATCATAGTTTTTGAGCCATGTGGGCATTAAATTTCAGAATTTAACCTGTGGAATTAATTCAGAGGAATAAGCAGCAATACATCAAATTAAACTTATTCTTTTAACTCACCCCTGGCAGGGAATTCAAACAGAAAATTGGACCACAGGCGGACTAAGAACTTTAGTCTGAACCGGTCAAGTTCTGAATTGAAAATGGAACAGGAAGTCTTTAAAAAGGAGGAAGTTACTCTTCAGTTCCCCTTGACTAATCATCTCATTCGCCTTTATTACCTTTCAACTCTTTAATTATAATTTTGCTACAATGAAGCATTAGGAAAGGGGTAAGAAATTTCTTAATTAGTCCAGTGTTATTATGCTAATTAAAAGCAATAGGAAAATGTTTAGAACTTTAGTAATAATATTATCTAAACAAAGCACTTTTTAAGAGGACAGAAACAGCTGTCCAGACCAGCTCGTCACAATGGACAACAGACAACAACATAACATTGTTCCCTGTGGTGCCATGTCTGATGTCAATATTGTCATCATTCTTCCATTGATCTTTCTTTTATCGTGTCCGACGTAGTCATTTCTTGAATTATTTATGTTTTTAAATCTGTCCTCAAGGACACATGTCCTAAATGTTTCCTCAAAACAATAGCAGAGGGCATGGAACCAGAAAGGAGAGGCAACGGTCGACTAACACGAAGATGGGCACATGATATCTGTGACTCCATGGATACGAAGTGTACGAGGCGGGAGAGCTGGCGAGAGACCGAGTTTCTTTCACACAGATCGTGATAAGAGCGACGTTCTGCAAAAGACCTGCTTCATGATGATATTATTATTATATTTCTATGCCATTTAGCACATACAGTACTGGGGCCCCATCCGACCCATTTTGTTGTTGTTGCGGCGAGTCTGTGTCTCATTAGATCCTCACAAATATCTACCCGTGTTTGTTTCCCCTGTAGCCTATTTCTCCTAAGTGTTTGCTTCTCTTAATCATATTTTTTTTTTTTTGGGTCGAGCCTGGCTTTGTTGTTACATCGTGTCTGTCCAAGGCTTTCCCTCATTCTGTATACCCTAGGTGTTTCCCTGTATGTTTTCATATAGTTACAGCGTGTACCTCTTCAGGATGCCTTTCCATTTATTTATCTTTTAGTTTATCTGTTATCTTCCGGTGAAGCATGAACCAGCAATTTCCTAAAGTCAAGAACTTTTTCCACATTTTCATAATTGACCTATAGAATGAAACGAGCAGTCTTATTCCAACTTCCCATAATCGCCTCTTAGGACATGCATGATAAATTGGTGAGGTATCTTTACTTCCCGTATGCGCTCAGGTAACATATCGGCGACATCCCAGCGAATATTACACACACACTGTCGCAGGCGTTAACACTGCCATCTTTGTTGTTTGGCATCAACAGCACAGGTAATAATTGCCTGCAGGTGAGTCCTCACATTTAATCTCAGCAGGGAGAAGGAGGAGCTGTTGTTGTTGTTGTGGTGTTGCCGTTGTTGGCTGAATCTTCGAAATGTAGGTGTTGTTTAATTCCACGAAGCAAAATATGTCTGCCTCCTGAACGTCAGCCAAACCACCGGAGCACTTTGTAAACATACGTACTTTTGAAACAAGGTAATTTAAAAGACAACGTGTTGTGAGATTGTTGGAATAGATCAGAAAAACTGGTCGAAATATAAAGGGCGCCACTGCGTCGAGCACACGACTGAACAAACGAAAAAAAAAAAAAAAATAAATGAACGAAAGAACGAACCAGAGAACTTTATTTCCAAAGGGTAACAAATTTGCTACGCAGGCTCGTTTTACATTCGGCCCTTTCAAGCGCTTATCTTTCATACGGCGCAGTGTATTTTACATATAAAGCACATTGTGTTTCCAAATCAAAATACATTGTATAAATGTAAATTAATGCGAGGCCACCCCCTCTTGTAGTTTTCCAGGAACGCTTAATGGGCTTAAACTGTGTTTAAGTGCATAATAATAACAATATTTATTATGTTCTAGGTAGCGAACAATGTAAATGTTGGGAATAACTGAAATTCTTCTACATGGCAAGGGAAGCCTACTGACAAGTTTTCGGAGAAGGAAAGTTCCACCTCCCCCCCTTTACCGGTTTGTGGGGGTATTGGGTGGGAGTATGAGGTGGGGGTATGGGGTGGGAGTATGAGGTGGGGGTATGGGGGTGGGATTGGGAGGGAGGAAGTACTTAGAGGTTCTGTCGCCTCTGCAAAAATGCTATGTAGAAAAATAGTTGCTCTTCTTGTATGCCAGGGGTGGTCGACGTTTTTAGACTCGCGGGCGACTTTTATTTCAGAAATGATTGGCGATCGACTATAGTAAACGTAAAAGACTGTTTTCCCACACTTTTAGGCATATTGGGCACATAACTGCTAGACCTATATTTTATACAACAATCGGCCCTGGGTGGGTGATGTGCTCAACATCATGCCGGCCGCCTTTACTTCACAGGGGTTCACATCGAACCCATTTAAAGATGACTCGACCTGGAATCTAAGTTCATGTTTGAAAATAGTGCCACTCCATTAGGATCTAAACCCACTTGTTTCGGATTCACATCTTAGAGTTTAGCCGCTACATCATACGGCACCTTGTAGACTATAGAGATGCAGAGTACATTAGAAAAAAAGGGAAAGACAACATGTGAGATATGTTGATTCTTATGGTCCATCAAGGGCTGCTGAAAGGTTTCAGACTAATGAGAAGGGTATCCAAATCTAATGTCAGTAGAAAAGAGCACTTTATGACACAATATTCTGTTCAACCCTGTACTATCAATATCAGCCCTAGACAGTGACACACACACACACACAAGACAAAAAATAAGGCACAAAGGGGGGAGGGGGGTCCTAGACAATTCTCCCATTGCATGTGAGCTCTAACATTATGTGTCTGCTCTCGTTCCAGGTGGCTTCCAAGTATGATAGTGGCAGTGAACTGGAGGTGAAAAACTGGATCTACCAGCTCACGGGGGAGGATATCGGCACTGGAGTATATGAAGTGGAAAGGCGGCTCCGGAATGGTCAAATTCTCTTGAAGTAAGTACCTTGAAGTAAATAGGAAGCTCAGGAATGGTCAAATTCTCTTGAATTAAGTACCTTGAGGTAATTAGGCGGCTAAGAAATTGTCAAATTATCTTCAAGTAAGTGCTTTGATGTAAATAGGCGGTTAAGAAATTGTCAAATTCTCTTCAAGTGAGTATTTTGAGGTAAATAGGCGGTTCCATGAGGTGGAAAGACGGCTCAGCGGTGATCACACTCTTGTGGAGTTAACTCTGCCATGTGGATTGATGACTCAAGATTTAGCCATTCGTTCTATGAAGGAAAGAGTGACTCAAGATTGGTCATATTCTTCTAGTGTTAGTTCTATGAGATCTAGAAAGTTTCAGAGTCCTAATAAATGAGTTTAATGAAGTGGATAGACGGCACGGCAAGGTTCAATTTCACGAAATTGTTATGAAATAGGTACCACGCACTTTTCCTGAATATGGATATGGATATAGATATGGATATGGATATAGATATGGATATGGATGTGGATATCGTTAAAAAAAATTCTTGCCAGTTTCAGGCAGCTCCTAGAATGAGCAGCAATGTGCCACTTGAATCTTGTAGCCATCGTCGTGCTGGTTGGTCCCAGTCCTATCTTTCCTGGTATCGTGCCTTCTGATACGTCCGCACGCCGTGGCGCTTCACATCGTCTACTTGGTCGCCCATTGGCAAACCTATATACGACTTCGTCGCCGGTAGGATCAGTATTTGGGTCTCTCTCCTTTGATCGCATTACATCTATAGGAGTCCGTTTCATGTCTCTTAGTAGCGTGCAATTCTAAGTAATTTTATGTAGCGCAGATTACCTAGTCACAGTTATAACCTGAAGCTCCGCTTTCAGCCGTGAAGATTGACATGGCCGGAATATTTCAGTTTGCGAGACATGATGTTGTTTAAGAGCCAGTTTCCCTTGATGTGTTTCTCTTTTAGGATGTCACTATTTCTTTTCGTCTTTTTTCCCCTGTGAGATTCTATTTATATAGTATTTCAGCTCATTTTTTAATTTTTAATTTTTTGAGATTGTCTTCATCGTACATCAGACATGACCATAACTGCTCCAGTCTTCTTCTGAGTATGTCTCTGAGTGTTTTTAGGCCAACAACTTCCATTCTGTTGTTGTTGACGTAATGACCAGCGGCTCCCACATGGTTTACCTGTCTCGCTTCTCCAATTGGTACACTCAAGGTATGCAGTCAATTCAGTTAAAAAAAAAAATCATTTTCCATGAAACTGAAAGCCTCACAGCGTTTAGTCTCTGGTATGGCATTGATGATGTCTTTCCTGTCCGTAGATGACCCATTCCTGACAGCTCGCTTATATACTTTTCGTTCGGTTTTATATTTATCCATGATATTTTTATAGCTTCACAGCAGTTCATTAATGTCCCATACCTCGTGTGTCCCACCCGCCGGAACTGCTACTATATGTTTGTGCCTGTCACACTCGTCTATACGTCGTGTTCGAGTATGTTATATTGTGTAGCTCGTATACTTGTCGTTCGGTTTTATATCTATCCATTCCTGACAGTCGCACTGCCAGCCAGAACTTTTATCTCAAAAGTCCGTGTTTTCCTCCCCAATGTCGGTGAGATAGTTCACAACTCACAGACCTATGTTGCTAAAGGAAGGAACACGCTCCCAAAACTCTGACGTTGATTTTCTTGCTAATGCTGAACCATAGCTTATGCAGATTGAACCATCAAGAGAGAAACATGATTGTTAGATTTTCAGTGTCTTATGCAGATTGAACCATCAAGAGAGAAACATGATAGTTAGATTGTCAGTGTCTTATGCAGATTGAACCATCAAGAGAGAAACATGATAGTTAGATTGTCAGTGTCTTATGCAGATTGAACCATCAAGAGAGAAACATTATTGTTAGATTGTCAGTGTCTTATGCAGTTAGAACCATCAAGAGAGAAACATGATTGTTAGATTGTCAGTGTCTTATGCAGTTAGAACCATCAAGAGAGAAACATTATTGTTAGATTGTCAGTGTCTTATGCAGTTAGAACCATCAAGAGAGAAACATGATTGTTAGATTGTCAGTGTCTTATGCAGTTAGAACCATCAAGAGAGAAACATTATTGTTAGATTGTCAGTGTCTTATGCAGTTAGAACCATCAAGAGAGAAACATTATTGTTAGATTGTCAGTGTCTTATGCAGTTAGAACCATCAAGAGAGAAACATGATTGTTAGATTGTCAGTGTCTTATGCAGTTAGAACCATCAAGAGAGAAACATTATTGTTAGATTGTCAGTGTCTTATGCAGTTAGAACCATCAAGAGAGAAACATTATTGTTAGATTGTCAGTGTCTTATGCAGATTGAACCATCAAGAGAGAAACATGATTGTTA